AACTGAGCAACTAACGTTTTCAAAAGCTTATATAAAAGAGACAATAAGCATGATAAATTATATAACATTTTAGAAGGTGGTAAATAGTACAGGGGAAAAAAATAAGATTCGGGTAACTAGATCAGAATTTCTGAATGGAGATACAGGGAGGGGTTGTAATTTTAACTAATTTGGTCAGAACAGCCATACCGAGCAAGTGATATACAAGCAAAGAGTTGGAGAAGGTGAGAAAGTAAGTCATGCAAATATCTGACAGAAAAGTCAAGGTTAAGGTCTCAAGATAGGAACATGCCTGATGTGGTTAAAACACGGACAAAGTCATATCCAAGTAAAGGTGTATAATGGGCAGGTGATACATGAGTCAAGAAAAGAGTTGTGTTGGCTTAAGACACACAATTAAGATCATCAGCTTTAGAGGGTTATTCGAAGTCATAAGATTGGATGAGATTCCTAAAGAAGTGAAGTTCATGGACTGAACTCCATAACACTCTCTTGTTGAGATCTGGAGAGGAGAGAAATCTCCAAAGATGACCCAGAAGGAACTGCCAGAAAGACAGGGAGCAAACTAAGAGAGCACAGTGTCATGGAAAGCAATGTGAAGAAGGTGGTTCTAAGACAAGGAACGAGTGATCAGCTGAATTAAATGCCACTAACTTAAAGATTAGGTAAGACAAGAAGTGAGGAGTGACCACTGAATTTAGCAATGTGGAGGTCACCAGTGAGCTAAACAAGCACAATTTTCAAAAAGCGGCGAAGGTCAGAGTGTGAATGAAGTAGGTTTAAGAGAGAATGGGAAGAGAAGAATTAGAAACAAAGCAGCTAGAAGTTTTTTAAAGTTTTTGCATGAAGAGAAGCAGAGAAAGGGATGATGGTAAGTGGAGACAGAAGGGAGATTAGCAGGCTTATTTTTTTCTTTTAAGATGGGAGAAATAATAGCATGTTGATGGGAACAATCTAGCAGAGAGCAAAGAGTTGAAGATGTAAAAGAAATAAGCGAGAACTGCCAGTGAAATCTTCTTGTATAGACAAGAATGGGCACAGGGAGGGGCTGACAGCTGGACCCTGGGCAATCCAACCACACTGGAAAGAGGGAAATCAATGTATAAGGAAATAGTTGCTGGTGGACGTGTAGACATAATAACAGAGTTCTCTTGAGTGCCTGAATTTTCTTAATGAAATAAGCAGCAAAATAACAGCTATAAGTGAGGGTAATAGAGAAACATAGAGAAGGAGTCAGAATATATGAGGAAATGTAAAAAAACCATCTCAGAAATCATTCTGGATTGTGCTACTCAAAGTACAGTCCAAGGTCCTGTACTGTTTTCTTTTGTTGTACAAGCTGTTTGTTTATACGATTTAACAACATAGAAATTAAGAAGTGTGCTTTATGTTACCAGTAGATTCATCTCATTTTACAGCACGCTCTCCATAAACATGTACCATTTTTGTAATTCTATTTCATATTACGACTATTATTGAACTGCAATTTCATTTTTTGTCAAATCTAATAAAAAATTTGGACTTAGACTTTTGTCTTTTTAAAATTTCATTTTGCTTCACAATTCATATTATTGTGTTTTTTTATTCATGATGAGGTAGAGAAAAAATTGGTCCCTCACCACACATAGATTGAGAAGGACGAGTCCAGGAGAGTTGGACAGTAATTAGACTAAGAAATGTTTTGTGATTGCCAAGGAGCATTAGAGGCTCGCATGAGGTTTGCAGCCATTAGTTAAAGACCGTCAGTGAGGTGGAGTGATTCTCTCCAGACACATTATGCTATGTGGAAGAGAACAGAATAGAGGAGCAGCAGGATTTAACTGACCTATCACATTGCCAAGTGAATATGAGATGACTCAAAAGGGGGCGGGGGCAGCAAGGAAATAGTATGCAAAGATTAAAATAAGTGATCATGGAACTCAAGCTGGATGAAGAGGGAAGACAGGGTAACAGAGGTATGAGGGGCAGAAAAGTGACAAGATCAATGGCCCATAGGTCCCAAAAGGATTGAAAAATTGTTGGCAAAAAGGATAAGTTAGAAAGATAGCAGGTGATGGTCAAATAGTAAGACAGGAACAATTGAGAATGTGAAGAAGCTATAGCAATGAGGTGAAAGGATTCTTGGAGGGGAGGAGTTTGGGAAACTTAGAGCCGGTGTGTTGAAGGGATCATCTCTGCAGACACTGGAATCCTCACAAGTGAAGGCAGGGGTAGTGCTGGAGATAATGATGATGAGTCAGGAGCTAAAATCAATAAGAAATGAGGAGAAATGACGGTGTGGGGTGGGGCTAGAAGATGACTCAGAGTTCGGACTCTATAGGGGAACAGGGGGTGAACAGACAGGAGGCAGCCATGAAAGGCGAAGGATGCCTACCACAGGCAGCACGGTACGAAGGCCATGAGAGGAAAATGGCCATCACTTGACAGGACCTCACACAAGGCAGTGTCCTCAGAAAGCTACAGGTGCTCAGGAGATCTAGAGTCAAGGAACTCCTTCAGAGAAGGGGTGAAAGAGCGAGCTGATTTGACTGATGACGGACTATGAGTTGCAGAGGGCCTAGTGAAAGGGTTTCAAGAGGTTGGGAAGGATGAGGGGCAGGCAGAGACAGAAAAGGGGATTTACAGAGTCACGTGGCGAGGAGCAGACAAGGGTTCCCCGGATGGCGAGGGCTACTCTCGACGGCCAGCATGTTGATGCTTGATAGAAACCAACACAATACTATAGCACAATTATCCTTCAGTTAAAAATAAGCAAATTTTTTTTAAAAGGGATAAAGTATGTAAGAAATCATTTTAGAAATCATCATTCCTCATGGACAGCTATTTGATGGGATGAAACAGGGTCCAAGCCTGGATTACTCAATTGATCAGTAATATTTAATCCATGGGTTACATCATGGTTCTCTATAAGGCATGCTCCTGACCTTGTGCTATGTATCTTTAGGCTATTTGGTTCCTTCCAGCACTAAACTGAAGTAGGCAAGGGCAAAATGATGGTAAATGATATGTGCGTATCACTCCATGCTAATAGCTCTGATAAAAGGCTGCCGACAGAGTAGATTGGTTTAAATGGGCATCCTGAATTATCTGTTTATTCAGATTGGATAGTCAGAAATATTCTATACTAATATGTACCCTACCAATTTTTATTATGTCGCTACTTAATAGAAACAAGACAACATGTACTATCCTGTTCCAGAAAGGGCTGACCTTTATTGAATTATTTTAATAAAATCAAATTTAGTTATATTACAATACTGGAAAAGGGTCACAGGTAGGGAAATGGTAACAAAAGTAAGGGACATTTTCCAAAGACTAGAGAAAAAGAATAACCAAGTTCACAGAGGGCACATTAGCCAGGCCCTTGCAAGTAAGTACCACCTATGAAAAGATGAAAATCGAAATTGCTTTATTGGTATGACCTTGCCTTTACAATGTTAAAGAATGCTGAGTAGGAGAAGAGATGGGAAACAAAAGGTACAGAGGGGGAGGAGAGAGAGACGAGAAAAGGGTATAGGGATCCACATATAAGGATTTTAAAATGTATTTTTTGTGCTTTGCTTCAACTGAATTCACTTTTCTGGAGGGATGACTTATGGAATTAATATTCTACTTAATGGCTTTCTAGTTATTTATGTATGTTTTGGCAATTAATCTTTCTCCTTCATTGAATGAGATCCCTTCTTCTCTTTTCCTCCCCATTATCCCTCTTCTTTGTAAAGATCATACTCATCATTTTTTTATGCTGTGGAGGTTGGAAGCAAGATGGTTTTCTGGTCCTAACAAGTCAACCATCTGATAAATCACCAAGAGGCAAACGAATTACTGGATGTGGGAGAATCTGCACACTGTAACAGTTTGAGTAGTAAAGAAATAATGGAATAAAGTAATAATGGAATAATGGAATAAAGTAATAATGGAACATAAGTTCAAGGGTTTTTTACTTAGAAGCACAAGAAAATTTACCTAGAACTCAATGCCTGGACTTGGTACATTCTGTCTCTCCAGATCTATTCTTTGCCTTTCTCTCTCTTGCTGTGCTTTAGGAAACAGATTTCTGGAACACATCAGAAGCAATCTTTTCCTTTGGCTTTAAGTTAGATTTGGCCAGTAGGTAGCTCTGGCAAGAAATCAGAAAGCAGGAAAAGAAAGCAGGCATGTTCTCCAGTGCTTCCTCCCTGCTGGCCATTTCTGTTTTGGTAGAGGTTGTGTTTTCTCGTGTACAGCCATAGCTACTGTCATCGGCCCTCTTGTGCAACTTCAGTTCTCTGGGTTCCAGAAAAACTGCTCCTTTCCCTTGCCCTGAAGGTCCAGGGTGATAGCTGCTTTAATGTGTACTTTATCACCCTCTGGTGGGTCCCGTTGCTGCCATACCTCTGAATAATCCCTTCGTTAAACTTCTTTCAATTAATCTGCTGGCTGTGCCATTTGTTACTTGTAAGAAGCAAGATTGATATAATTTCTAGTAGATGTGCTGGGCTTAGTTGCTCAGTCATGTCCGACTCTGGGTGACCCCATGAACTGTAGCCCACCAGGCTCCTCTGTCCACAGGGATTCTCCAGGCAAGAATGGAATGAGTTTCCAAGCTCTCCTCCAGGAGATCCTCCCAACTCAGGGATCCAACCCAGGTCTCCTGCATTGCAGGTGGATTCTTTACCACCTGAGTCACCAGGGAAGCCCTTCTAATAGCTAGAATGATACAATTTCAGGGCCAGGTCTACACAATCCAACCCATTCTCATTCCAAATTACTCAACTCAATATCTCTTTCACTATTCCATAGTGAATATCCAGCCCGGTCTTGTTGAAGTCACTGCTTCGGGACAATCACATATTCATCATGATGACACTGGCAGCGCTTTGAAACCACTTAAGAGTCTCCATTCATAAAGCCTCCATTTTCATAAGTGTAACTCATCAAGATGCAAATTTAAAACTAGACTATTTTAGGAATTTGGTCAGAAAAGGGAAGTAGCTTTTCTCAGTAACATCCAACCTCACCTCCTTCTCCTTGTTGAGCAACACCAGCTGGCTGTCTGTGAGGATGCAGTACTTCCGCTCCCATGTTGTCGTGTCGGTGTAGGGTGACTGGCCACAAGACAGACGGTGGGTAGGTGGCCCTTTCACATCTGTGTGACAGACACAAAAACAAAAGTGACAAATCACTACCATGCTTGGCAAATTCACATTTCAAATGGAAGATGCTTCAAAATCAAGGGAGGTGGTCTAAACATAAACCTAACTAGTTAAGTTGAAAAGTTAAAATTCCTCTGAAGAAAATATAAACAGTTTTTGACAGAGGGACGATTTTGCCCTATAGTCTGCAAAAAAAGAGGGCTGAAACACTTTGGGAAGAATTGTTAGTACAAATTTGACATGGTAATCACCAGTGTACATGCAATAAAATAATGGGAGACCACTTCAGGGCAAAACCAGTTATCATTCAAAAGATGTGGGGGTGACTCAGAGACAGGAACAAAGGATAGATATCTTTTGGAAGAAGATGCTGCTTGCTGCATGTACACTCAAGAGTACTGCTGAGCTTGAATTTAAAGAGTGAAGTTATTGGCAGCCTACATCTTCAAAATGGCTTTATTTTTGGTCAGTTGTAAGATTTTAGAACTGGTTAAACTATAGCATCATATTACCACTAGAGGCCAGTAAGATCTTAAAAACAGAGACGATCTAAACATTACCATCAAGTCTCTTACGGTGGAGGCATACAATATAATATCAAAGTTAAATGTTTCAACTCTTCTAAGAGTCTCATCTCCTATGTTACTTTCATTTTTTTTCTTTTATTGAGGTATGACTGACATGTAACACTATATTATTTTCAAGGGTATAACATAATGAGTCAATATTTGTATACACCACAGAATGATGATCCTAACAAGTCTAATTACCATCTGTCACCATAAGAAGTTAGAAAATCTTTTTTCTTTTGATGAGAACTTTTTGATTTACCCTCCTGGCAACTTTCAAATATCTACTACAATACTGTAATCGCCATGCTGCAGATGACATTCGCATGGCTGATTATAAGTGGAAGTTTGTATCCCTTGACCCCCTTCACCCATCTCACCCACCATCCTCTTAGAGATCATCATGCTGTTCTCTGTACTTGTGAGTTTTGTTTTGTTTACTTTGGATTTTAGATTCCACATATAAGTGACATCACACAGTATTTGTTTTCTCTGACTTATTACATTTAGCATAATACCTTCAAGGTCTATCTATGTCGTCATAAATGGTAAGATTTCATTTCTTGTTCAACGGCAGAGTAGTATGCTATTCATCCACCAATGGGCACTTGGGTTGTTTCTATTTCATGACTATTGTAAATAATGACACAATGAACACAAGGATGCATATAGCTTTTCCAATTAGTGTTTTCATGTTCTTTGGATAAATATCCAAAAGTGAAATTGTTGGGCTGTATGGAGAAGGAAATGGCAACCCACTCCAGTATTCTTGCCTGGAGAATTCCAGGGACAGAGGAGCCTGGTGGGCTGCTGTCTATGGGGTCGCACAGGGTTGGACACGACTGAAGTGACTTAGCAGCAGCAGCAGCATGGTAGTTCTATTTTTAATTTTTTGAGGAACTTCTAAACTGTTTTCCATAGTGGCTGCACCAGTTTATATTCCTACCAACAGTGCACAAGGGATCCATTTTCTCTACATCTCTGTCATCACTTATTATTTCTTGTCTTTTAGAAAATAGCCATTCTCATTGGTGTGAGGGATATCTCACTGTGATTTTGATTTGCATTTTTCTGATGATTAGGGAAGCTGAATACATTACATATGTGTTGTCCATCTATTATGTTTCTTTGGAAAATTTTCTTTTTTTTTTTGAAAATTTTCTGTTCAGATCCTCTGCCCCTTTTTCAGTGAGACTGCTGTGGATATTTTTTGTTTGTTTTTTACTCAGTTGAATGAGTTCTTCATATATTTTGGGTATTAACTCATCAGATATATGATTTATAAATACTTTCTCCAGTTCAGTAGGTTGCCATTTCATCTTATTGGTGGTTTTCTTTGCTGTGCAGAAGCTTTTTATTTTGATATACTCCTGTTTGTTTATTTTTGCTTTCTATTTTTTTTTTGCCTTTGCTTTAGAGGTGAGATCCAAAAAAATCACTTCAAAAAAGTTTTAATATGAACTGTTTACTCATTTGGGCTATTGAAAAACTTGAAACGTATCTTAACTATAAGCGCATATTAGATCCATTGAGTAAAAGGCTTTTATGATGTTTCAAGATATATCAAAAGATCTTTAGCCATGAAGGACTAATTCCTCTCAGGAATACAGTGTAGGAAACATTTAAAATACATTACTTATTACTATTTAGTTATTACACTAGAGGAGCACTTCAAACTGAAGAAATTCAAAAGCAAATGCCCATGAGTGCAGGACAGTTGTAAATATCAATAACAAATAAGCACATTTTACCTATTAGGTGAGAGTCTTCATTACTATTACTTTCCATAGACTTTTAGTCTTTTTATCACAGGATGATACGTATTCCCAGTACTGATCGACTTCAAGGAAATTCAGATGATTCCTAGATGTTTTATGCTACAATTACTCAAATATGCATGACTATAGGTGATGATCTGTAGAAAGTAAACAGGTCAGTATTCAGGGCATCAGGTGTACGCATGCCTCTCTTCTTACATCCCCATATATGTCCAACATTGTCATCAGTGCTCCTTCTAGCTAACTCCACTGCGCTCTAAAAGTCTATCTAAACTTGCTGCTCGGCATGTTCGGGGAGCTCATCAACTACCCTCCAAAATAACTCAAGATCCAAGAACCAATAATGGTACCAGCTTGGCTTGACATGTTTACTGATTTTTAGAAGTTCTTTCCTTTTCTCCTTGTTTTCCTGCTTCTATCTCCTGCGAACTTCACACACCTGCTGCCATCGGTAGCTTCTCCGATCCACACCAACTCTCTCCTCCCTTCAACTCTTTCATTTCAAGCATTTAAAGTTTTGTTTATACTTCAAATTTTCCTAAAATTATCACAAAAAGCTTTAAAGGAATTAATTCAGTAATTCTTGGCAAATAAAGGGTTCTTGCCTGGATTTAAACGCCATGTCAAAGCTGATTTTCTTCACACGATTTGGATAAACAAACGGGTTACATTTTTACCACAATGCAGACCTATTTTTAGAGTCAAATACCAAGATCACTTCAACAGAGAGGGATGCACCTACTTTATGTAGAAATGTGGTGGTTTTGTGGCCTAGACGAGTTTTCATTCAAATGACTAACCTTCTTATGTAAGTTGGCCATGGATGACCTGAACTGCCCCTTGCAATTTAATCTGAATCTTATGATCCACACTGGGCAAGAAGATATTGATAGGCTCTGTCCATAAAAACTAGAATACGGAAAACTGTATTATAGCAGGAAACCCAGGTTTCCTGACAAAATATAAATCTGCCACCAGCACTGAATTTAAGAAGACCTGAATTATCTTCTGTGTGTCAACCTGAGTAATTATCTTAGTCTCCCTTAAAGTTCGCCTCTTCTCCAACTTGAGCTTTGCTCCTAGTTTCTTCATGCTGTTGTGAAACAAGACAATGTCTCATAAAGCATGTTGGGGACCCTGAATTACTCCGCTCCAGTGTAGAATGAAATAGGAAGCAGTACTTCCACACTTTAGTTTTTCTGTCTGTCTAAATTATGAGCTTGATTAGCCATGTCATACATTTTATAGTTTCACATTTTTTCCTACTATCTATGGTCTACATTAAAAGGAAAAAAACAAGAAGTCAGAATAAGTGGGATTTTTTGTTCTTTTTTAGCATTTCTGGATTAAAGTTTAAAGGGCATCTTAAGTCACAATCTAAATCAGATATTTTTAAAAACTTATAAATTTATTCATTCTACTGTGTCCTCATTTCCATAGCTAAATGAAGGTTTAACAGTACACTTGTAAAGCCTGTTTACTGAGACTATATTAAACTCAGGACAAACTCACATTATTGCCTTATTCCACTTTACCAAGTCTATCAATCCCTCCCTCCCTCCTACTCTCCCTCACTCCCACCCTCTTTTCCTCTGGCTCTCTTGACATACTTCTAATTTCTGACTTTCAATTGCATTTAGTATCTAAAATTCACTACTGAATAGGGTAATAACTTTAGAATTACAAATAAGAATCTTAACAGCAAAACTGGAAGGAAATTTTAGATTTGTGCTGTCTATGGGGTCGCACAGAGTCGAACACGACTGAAGAGACTTAGCAGCAGCAGTCCAATTCCTGTAAGGATACCAATGGTATCAGATGCCACCCTTATTACAAAAATTGAGTAATTTTAGAAACATTAAAAAGAATCAGCAGTTACACAATGAGCCCCACTGTAAAGTACTTCTTTGAGACTAGATATTATCATGTAAACTAATAATTTCCAAAATCTTTGATCTCATGATTCCTTTACACTTTGAAAATTGAGGACTTCAAAGAGTTTTTTTGTTTGTTTATGTGGGCTATATTTATCAATATTTACCACACTAGAAATTAAAACTAAGAAATTTTTAAAATATTTATTCATTTAACAACAAGAACAAACCTACTGCGTGTTAACATAAATAACACATTTTTGGTGAAATGCAACTATTTCCCAAAACAAAATAATTAGTGAGAGGAGTGACAATATTTGAAGTTTTGCAAGTCTCTTTCAAATCTGTATATAGGAGACACCTGGGTTCTTATATTTGTTATGATATTTAATCTCATGCTTTATGTTGTTTTGGTTTAAGTATAAGTGAAAATCTAAACACACAGATAAACAGTTGGAAAAGGGAAAAAATATTTCAAATAAGTGTAGGTCATCTTTTCTAATACTATACCAAAAACTAAGAAGCAGCTGCTCCTTAAAAGTAAAATGTGGAACTTGATACCACTTCAAAAAACTTTTCATACTTTGTTAAGTTAAAAATCACTGGTCTACTTTGCCCTTTGAATGGATCTTTTTTTTTTTTTTTTTTGCTTATAACTCCTTTTGTATCAGTGTAAATGCCAACATAGTACAAACAAACAAATAAACATTTGGGTAAAACCAAATGCCATGAGCTCAGAAGGTAAAGAATCCGCCTGCAATGTGGGAGACCT